GAATTTCTTACATACTTAACAAAGCATGTACAAGATGAAAATTACAAAATGCTGATTACAGAAATCAAATATCTAAATAGATGGAGAGATAGACTGTGTTTATGGATTAGAAGATGATTTAGTAAAGATGTCAATTCTCCTCATATTGATCTACAGGTTTATAATTCCTATCAAAATCCCAGAAAGAATTTTGTAGACAGGCAAACTTACCCAAAAATTATTTGAAAAGGCACAGCCCTAGAATAGCTAGAACAACCTTGGAAAAGAACAAAAAAGTGGGAAGTATTATTCTACCACATATTAAGGCTTACTATATAGCTCTTGTAATCAAAACAGTGTGGTATTGTTGGAGAAGTAAACATATAGATCCATGTAACAGAATAGAGAACCCAGAAATAAGAATACATAAATATGTTCAACTGACTTTTGGACAAAGGTTCAAAATCAACTCAATGGAGAAGGCATAGTCTTTTCAACAAATGGTGCTGGAACCATGAATATCCATAGGCAAAGAAACTAACCTTGACCTAATCTCCATTCCTTATACAAAAATTAACTCAAAATAAGTCACAAACTTAAGTGTAAAAGTAAAATTATAAAAAGTTTAGGAAAAAAGGTTAAAATCTTTGGGACTTAGGGTTAGGCAGAGTTGACATGACTCCAAAAGCATGACCCATAAAAGGAAAAATTGATAAAGTGAATATCACTAAAATTAAAAACTTTTGCTCTTTGAAAGCCTTTGTCAACAGATAAAAAGACAAGGTTACAGACTGGGAGAAAATATTTGCAAACTACATATTTGACAAAGGACATATTTAGACTCTATGAAAAACTGTCAAAAATCAACAGTAAAAGAAGAATCCTCCTAGATAATGAAAAAAGACATGGCACTCAAAAGACACTTAACAACAGAGGATGTAAAGATGACAGAGAAGTACATGAAAAAGATGTTCAATATAGGGGTGCCTGGGTGGCTCAGTGGGTTAAAGCCTCTGCCTTCGGCTCAGGTCATAATCCCAGGGTCCTGGGATTGAGCCCTGCATCGGGCTCTCTGCTCAGCAGGGAGCCTGCTTCCTCCTCTCTCTCTGCCTGCCTCCCTGCCTACTTGTAATCTCTGTCTGTCAAATAAATAAATAAAATCTTTTAAAAAAGAAAAATAATATGAAATTATAAATACAAAGCTAGCTATAGGGCCTTGGAAGGGGCACCTGCAAGTGAGGGGCCTTAGAATTTAAGTTTTATTAGCTTCATCATAAATCTACCTCTAATTATTGTTGTAGTGCCAGTTCCTAGCACAGCTCCTCATGCATAGTGGGTGTTCAATAAAAATTTATTGAATGAATAGCATTCATTAGTAGTAAGTAGAGTAGTAAGCTTAAAAATGGCCCATCACCTGAAGCTATAACAACAGACATATATCCAGATGAAGAATGTGATCATCAGGCCTGGTCAGATCACATCTAAAATATTATTCTTATAAAACATTTTAGAGGAAAACAGAATATTTTCCAAAAAAGAAACCAACCAAACAAAAGCCTTCTCTGACCTCAAAAAGCCTTGGTTGGAAGCCATGAGCTGTGCCCTTTTTGTTTTGCAGCCTTATCACCTTATATTGTGCTGCTCATTTCCTTGTCTATATTTTACAATAGATTTTAAGATCCAGGAAGTCAGGGACTATGTCTGTCTCTTTTCACTGTTACATTCCTAAACGCTGGCATGTGGCATTCAGTATTTGTTTATGAAGGACAAACCAGAAAACACCCAAACAAAAGTAGCATAGAAGAGATTTAGTACCATGTTTGTCTCATTCAAATACTTGTTATATATCATACACATTCAAATATAAGATATGGTCCATGCCCTTATGGAGCTCAGCACTCAGAGGATGTGTGAAAATACACCTTTAAAATTATGAAAATACAGTGTGGGAAGTGCAACAAAGTAACAAAGGAACAGTTGGAAGATGTTCAGTCTAAAGCAGGTGGGAGATAATTGAAGGGTACATGGTGATTTCTGTCTTCTATCTGAATGGCTATCAAGTGGAAGAGAGTTTATGAGTTTGTAGAGGGGATGCACAGGGTAGCTGACTGCAGTATTAATTAAATAAGGAAGACTTTTAATAACAATTAGATTAGTCTGCAAACAACATAGACTATTTCTGGTGAGGGCATAGTCTTCATTACTGACACATTTGAAGCCTAGGATCACCACTTGGTAGAGATGTTGTAGAGATGATTTACAGAGGAGATGAGGGTTTAAGCTGGATGATCTTTATGTCCGTTCTAACACAGAGATTCTCTGATATTTTTGGTCTGTTTTAGATAAAGGAGGGAAAAAATCACTCTTTTCCAATAAAAGTCCTACAATAAATATCTCTGTCCAGTTCTGCCTTAAGAATATTGTCTCTATGTAGTACATGTTAGGCTTTAATCTCATCCTCCAAATTCCTTGTTTTGTGATAGTTTGAAATATTGTTATCTACTACAATATATACAAGATGAAGTGAATGGGTTCTTTTGAAGTCATATCTGCCTCACAGTAGAGCTAATGACAAGCCTCCCACTTTTTCTGGATGTGAGTAGGAGTTCTGCTCCGCACTGGAATCTGCCATATTTGAGATAATACTTATACTCTCAGATGTCATCAGAAAACCTATACATTCTCTCTTCCCTTGTTCCCACCCTGATTATGAAACAGTAAACCTGAAGCTGATTTACTACTTTAAAACCAGTTATTGTTTTCCCAAAACAGATTTAACAAATTTGTTCCACCTGCTGAACTATGCTCCTCATTACTTTCTTGTGGTTTCATTGAAGTTTTAAGTCCCACACCTCAAAGACCATATTCCACAAATAAACTGAAACATTACTCTATTTAAAGTGCTGCTCAAAAGAGTGAAGGTTGTGTGTGTGTGACAAAAATGAGAGCAAGAGAAAAGGTGAATGGGTTTGTTACATTTTCTGGTAAGCAAACTGACTAATGTCAACCCCCTCTAATCACAGGTATTAGGGCAATGAGTAAGGGGCAGTGGGGGAGGGGGAGAAGGTGTCAGGTTTGACAATCACAACTCTTCTTTATATCACCATCTTAATAAACAACAGCTTTTCCACATATACCAAAATCAATCAGATCTCTAGAGGGCTGGAGTAGGTTGAAGTGAAGTGTAGACCAATTGTACTGGAAAACATTAAGTGCTAAACATATATATCAATAATAATAATTACATATTATAAGTAATTATTACTACTATTCCACCTAGTTCCTCCCAGTCAAACTTCATTCTATGTCACCCAGCTCACTCACATAGTATCTCTGGTCATACTTCCCACTTTATTATCCCTTTTCACTTCCCTACTGTAAATAAACTTCATGAAGACACAACCAGCAACAACTGATGTTTCTTAAATGTGTAACACAATTACACTGAGATGCACACTTCCTTATCTGATCTTTACAGCAATCCTCTGCAGTAGATAAAAAATTCATTTTATGTAAGTGGAAACAATGTAAACAAAATTAAGTAATTCAGCTAAGTTCATACAACTAAGTGGCAAAGCCAGGCTGTTTGATTCCAAAGCAGTTGCTTTCCTTGGATTTCTTCATACTCAGAACACTTGGGAACGATTACTAATTAACTATTAGAGATAAAAAGAACTATGACTTGAGTGTTCTCTCACATCAGTGATTCACATCTCACTGCCCCATCTCTTCTAATTTTGCTTCTCTACAACAGTTACCATGCCTAATCAAGTTGATTTCACTTATCACTAAGAGTAATGTCACTTAGTCCTCTCCCTCAGACTTCTTAAAATAGTCATTGATGCTTTTCTGCTTAAATTTAAATCACACACATTTTTTATTCCTTGTGTGCTTCCTAATTTGGTTCTTTTGTCAAGTATACTTATTTTGTTCCTTTTTTTCTACTTGTTTCTTATTCATTCTGCTCCGTATGCCTAAATAAATTCCTGCTGTTCTTTAGAAGATGACACAGGAGCACTTGGGTGGCTCAGTTGGTTAAGAAGCCAACTCTTCACTTCGGCTCAGGTCAAGATCTCAGAGTCCTGAGTTCAAGCTGTGACTTGGGCTCCTAACTCAGGAAGGAATCTGCTTGAGGAATCTGTCTCCCTCTGCCCTTCCCCAGCCTACCCCCTCCACTGGATCTCTCTCTCTCTCTCTCTAAAATAAATAAATAAATCTTTAAAAAAAGAGACAAAAATCATGATTTAAATAAAGCGACTAAAATGATTACAAGAAATATTTAAGTGTATTTTAATATGTAAGCACTAAACCAGAAACTATGAAGGTCAAATAGACAAAAACTAACTCATGACCTGAAGATGACTAAAATTTAGTAGGAGATATAAAACATATGTACATGTAATCACAATTTATAAAATTTATATGTGAGCTCCTAGGAGTAGTTTAAAGCAGTAGAAAAGTTAAGTGGGAAGACAGAGGAATTTCTGTATGGGGTGACTGGGAAGCTGAGGAGCATTCTAAGTACTCTTATCCTCATTTCATAATTAAGGAAATTGAAGTACAAAAAAGTGTAGTCTTGGAAGCTAAGACTTTTCAAAGGCAAAAATCCTTAAATATTTGTAAATGACTGTTCTATATACTACAATGAGTAAACATTTACATATTAAAACATTAATGTAACAAAATAATTAGAAAAAAAATATGTACTTGTTTGAGAGAGAGAGAGCAAGCAGAAGAGCACCAACAAGGGGAGAGGCAGAAGGAGAGAGAGAAAAAGAATCCCAAGCAGACTCAGTGCTGAATGCAGATCCCAACACAAGGCTCAATCTCAGGACCCCGACATCATGACCTGAGCAGAAATCAAGAGTTAGACATTTAACTGACTGAGCCACCCAGGTGCCCTGTAGCAAAATAATTTTGATATCATCTAAAGTGGGATAAAATGAGGTTCAATCCTTAGTGCTTCCCTCCTGTTCTTTAAGATTTCTTCTTTAAAAATCCCTCTTGAATAATCCAAGGACTAGTAAAAGTTAATCAGAACTGATCCTGTCTTCATTCTACAATTTCTTTTTCTTTTAATGATACTGTCCAGGTAAGAATTAACTTCACAATTACATTTTTTTTTTTTTAAGATTTTGTTTATTTATTTGACACAGAGACAGATCACAAGTAGGCAGAAAGGCAGGCAGAGAGAGAGCCGGAAGCAGGCTCCCTGCTGAGCAGAGAGCCCGATGTGGGGCTTGATCCCAGGACCCTGGGAACATGACCTGAGCCAAAGGCAGAGGCTTAACCCACTGAGCCACCCAGGTGCCCCCACAATTACATTTGAAGTCAATGGTCTATAAGCTAGTCCATCTAGATGAGATTTGAATGCAAATGTGGAAAATGTTGGTGCATATAAATTAATCAAATGTACATATATAGGTATAAAAATATCTAATACATAATTATAAATGCCATTTCATTTTTCTATTTATTCACAAATAGATTACTAATAAAACCAACATGCAGACATTCAGTGCTGAAAAAGTAAGTCCTGAATTAGAGGTTCAGAACTCTGACTTCAGAAATGTCTCTTGCCTCAGAAATATTTCTTTTGATCTGGCCACAATTCACAAAACAGCTGCTGAAAAGAAAATTCTACAGTAATCTTAATTTATACTAATAGAAGTCTAATGATAGAATTAAAGGCATAATCCCACTGTACTCTGGACTGGACAAATAATCTCTAAAGTATGAGGTTCAGTTCTTTGTGCTCCATTTTAAAGGAGGAAATAAATAACTGAGGGTATATTCCAAGTAGCCTTTCTAGAATAATACAAATCCTGCACATCATTCATACAAAGTAGGAATGAAAAAACTGGGATGTTTGGCATAAAGGTAAAATTAAGAGAAATCATAAATCATAAAAGCTATCTTAAACACTAAAAGTACTGATCTAAAGAACATAGAACAGAGTTACTCTGTCAGGCTCCAGGGGACAAAATTTCTGGAAGTCCTGTGAGATCTTGTCCACCTGCCTTCATTAGGTTGAAATTTCTCATCTGTAAAATGAAGAGAATGAGTAAGACAATCTCCTAGTCTCTCCTACTCTAACAGTGCATGATTTTCATTTTTACAAAGAATCAGATTTTAGCTCAACATTTTTCCCACTAGCCACTAAATTTGTCAAATAATGGAAAAAGAGCTGCCTCGGGAGACTAGTAAACTGAGCATCCTTGAAGATATTCCAGCAGAATACAGAATAATCTTGCAAGAATACTCTAGAGGAGATACTTGCAGTATAGGAGAGTTACTATATAATGTATTGAGGAATGCAGTTCTAGAATCAGACTTGGGTTTGAAACCTGGATCTTGATTAACTATGTGAAGTGTAAACCAAAGCAAGTTAACCTCTGATTGTATTTCCTCACTTACAAAAAATCCAGATAACAATAGGATACTTCTGCAGGTTGTTGTGAGAATTAAATGAAATGATGCAAGTAAGTATCACTGTGCCTGGCATACAATAAAAACTCAATGTATGTCTGATATCATTATTGAATGGGACAAGATAATCTTTAAAGTATCTTCTAATTTTAAGAACCTATGGGGACCATAAACATGCTGAGGTAATAACATCAAAGTAGATGTAAGTCTCTCACCTTTTATAATGCAAGAATCTCTTCATCTACTGAGATTCATTTCCTGCTACCACAAAACCGTACCAGCCAAAAGGATCTACTTTTACTGGTAAGATACCATTTGGCCAGGATGAGCTGGGGGCCTGAGCCATCCTAGATAAGTAAGTAGCGCTAAAAGTGTACTAAAAGTACAACAGGATTATAAAAGTTTGTGGCAGTATATAAATTAGTATACTCATGGGTTGGACAGAAACCAAAAAAACACCATCAGTGGCAAGAGTTAGTTGCAGTAACAGGACAGGGTAAACAAACATGGTTTGTTACTTGTAGTAAATTAGCTTGCACAAATCTATAAAACATTTAAACAAGATTTAAAATCAAATAGTCTAAAATCCAAAATTTTAAATGTAGTCAGAGAAAGCTTTAATAATAAGTCTGTTGCCACACCCAGCTGGGACATTAGAGAGAAGGTATTTCGACAAAGATTCCTTACAATTAACTGGGTACTATGTTAAGTACTTTACACATATCTTTTTTTTTTAACTTTACACACATCTTGTTAAAATTTTACAACCACCCTGTTATCACCACCTATACTTTATATATACGAAAACTGAAGCTCAGGGAAGTTGAACAATTTGACTAAGATCACATTGCAGCAAAGTATGAGTTGTCTAAAAGAGAGGTCTCTTAGAAATGAATTCTCATCCATTCAGGAGTCTTCACCATCTATATCCCACAGGGGAAAAAAAAAGTCTTATGGCTGGAGTTGGGGATCTACTGAGATGAGTAGCTGCTTCTGGTAACTACTGATAAGGGCCCTGAAGGGATGGAGTGCTTTCCTATCATCAGTGTTAGAATCATGACCGTTTTGTGATCTACTTGTGTCAGTGTGGACCACAGAGATCCTATCATAACTTAACTATAATCCTACTCTGCAATTCAATTTTTCCAGCTATGTCAGTCATCCGCAGGGTAAAGCCAGTGATGGGGCTCATGAGATACATATTACCACAGCTAGCCAGACACATATGAAGTGAGGCATTATCAAATCTTCCTCATTTCAGAAGAATCTCAGCCAAACATTGAGTTCATACTTGTGAAAATAACATTCAATTCCTATTTCTAAAGAGGAGTCGTTATTCACTGACTCAAAGTTTATAAGAAAAATGTTGTTTCCCCAAATTAATAGCAAGCAATGAGGGTATGAATCTATGGAGGAGATTAGGCCAAAGGATACTCAGGAAAGAGAAAATGTCAATTCTACTAACGGGATGTAAAACTTTTAATAAAAAGTAAAATTGGATCAGAGGTACCTTTCTCACCAGCCCAATGCAGAGCTCCCTCTCTTTACTTAAATAAAAGTAAATTTATTTACTTTTTCAAGTAATTGAAAATTGAAATTTTATTTACTTTTTCAAATTGTGTATACCACAATTTGAAAGCACTTTTGATAACTTTTATAGCAGTATTAAATTACCATAAAGTTCATTAAAAGGTTATAATGGTCTCTCAAAAACATTAAAGTTATCACAGAGATGGTGCTCCCCTTCAAGAAGAGAAATTATCTCTATGGATATTTGATAGGAAAATGAAATTACTACTGAAGTGAGAAAAAAAGATTAAAATAATACAGATCATAATAATTTATTATATAGGATCTCAGCTGTGCTTTAAGAATCATCTAGATTAATATTAAACTATCATTGTTTCACCTGTTAACATTCATAAATTGATGTGTCCCTAACTCTTAGAGAAAATGAACATCAACTTGGTTCTCTGATAGGCAGAAAATGCAGAAAAATATATTTTAGACTTTAGGAGAAAAGTAATTTCTAATGTTTATTTTATTGAATTAGACTGGCAACCAAAGAATAATAAGTTAAAGTGGGGTCAGCATAATGATATAGAAAAAAAGGGTATGAGCAATTATTGAAAGTCTACCATGAACAGGTAATATGCTTGAGATTTTACATGTTATTTCATCTAATCTTAGAATCAGATCAGTGAAGCAAGCCTCACTGCCCCATTTTATAAATGAAGCAACTTAGTCTCCAGATATTAAGAAACAAGTAGTCAATAATACACTACCAGTGACATCACTATATAGTGGTTACTTAGCTGCCTTCTAATTTTTAATTTGTTGCTTCTTTTCTCAAAAGGCTATTTATATTCTTTGAAAAGATCAACAAAACTGACAAACACTAGGCTGATGAAGCAAAAAATAAAGAAGGACCAAATTACTAAAACTGGGAATGAGAATGGGGACCTTACTAGGGACTATACAGATGTAAAAATACTATGAACAACTGTATGTGTACAAACTAGACAACTTAGCTGAAATGGCCAAATCCCCAGAAAGATAAAAACATCCAAAAGTGACTGAAGAAGAAATTGAAAATCTGAATAGAACTACAGCAAGTAAAGAGATTAGTTATTAAAAAACAACTCACGAAGAAAAGCCTAGGCTCAGACAGATTTACTGGTGAATTTTTATTACACATTTAAAGATTTTATTTACTTATTTGTCAGAGAGAAAGAAAGCGAGCATGCACAAGCAGGGGGAGTGGCAGGCAGAGAGGGAAGCAGGCTCCCCGCCTAGCAGGGAGCCCAATGCAGGGCCTTGATACCATGACCCTGGGATCATCACCTGAGTAGAAGGCAGTCATTGAACCCACTGAGCCACACAGGTGTCCCTAATACATATTTAAAGAGCAATTAACAGCCATCCTTCACAAACACTTCTATGAAGTAGAAAGCAAGGAGCACTTCCCCATTTACTCTGTGGGGTCAGTGTAACTTTCATACCAAAACCAGGCAAAGATATCATAAGAAAATTATAGACCAATATTTCATAAATATAGCCATAAAATCCCTAACAAAATATTACCTTACTGAAACCAGAAACATATAGAAAGGATTTTACAGCATGACCAAATGGGATTTATCCCAGGAATAAAAGGTTTAACATAACAAAATCAGTTAATGAAATATACCGTATGAATAGAATAAAGGAAAAAAGACCAATGAATTATTTCAAAAGACAAAAAAAAGTTGACAAAATTCAACACCCTTTTGTGATTAAAAAAAAAAAAACACTCAACAAATTAGGAATGGAAGAGAAGTTCTTCATCTGGATAAAGGGTACCTCAGAAAGACCCAGAGTTAATGTAATATGAAAGGATGAAAGACTGGAACAAGCCAAGGCCATCTGCTCTCACGGCTTCTATTCAATATTGTAGTAGAGGTTCTACCTATGAAATTAGGCAGTAAAAGAAATAAAAGACATCCAGATTGGAAAAGAAGTAAAACTATCTCTGCCCACAAATGACATAATAGTATATAAAGATAATGTTAAGAAATCCACAAAAACTACTAGAACTAATAAATTAGTTTGGGAAGTTGCAGAGTCTGAGT